TCAGACACGTTTCTTTCTGACCGGTTAAGGAATCAGAACTGAAATCGACAGAAAATGGTCCAAATGACAGCCAGAGATTTAATCTTGGCAAAAATATGACATAAGGACCCAAACTTATACAAAATTAATAATTTTGGATCCAAACTTTAATTACACTCAATTAAGGTTCTAAACTATACGAAATTCTCAAATGAGGTCCCAATTGTACAGAAAACTAACTTCCATCAAATCTCCCGCAAACTCCTTTAATGTCCATCACACTCCACATGGACTTGGCAAAGGAGGTTCTCCACATGCAGGGGGTGGAGTTTGGGTCTAGAATTCGAAACGTAGTGTTCAATATCTTCACGGGGAAGGGACAGGACATGATGTTTACGGTGTACGGGGAGCACTGGAGAAAGATGCGGAGGATCATGACGATGCCTTTTTTCACTAATAAGGTGCTGCAGCAGTACGGGTACGGGTGGGAGGACGAGGTGGCACGCATGGTGGAGGACGTGAAGAAGAACCCGGAGGCGGCAAGGAGTGGGATCGTGTTGAGGATGCGGCTGCAGTTGATGATGTACAACAACATGTACAGGATCATATTCGACAGCAGGTTCGAGAGCGAAGACGATCCATTGTTTGTGAGGCTCAAGGCTTTGAATGGGGAGAGGAGTAGATTGGCTCAGAGCTTTGATTACAATTATGGGCATTTCATTCCCATCCTCAGACCATTCCTGAGAGGCTACTTGAAGATCTACAAGGAGGTGAAAGAGTGGCGGTTGCAGCTCTTCAAGGACCATTTTGTTGAGGAGAGGAAGTGCGTAGCGTACTCTTACCTCCTTAATTAATTAATTTAATTAATTTCTTGCTGCCTCTGCTCATACCTCATTCAATTAATTACAACTTAAAATGTAAATGCATGTACTGCTACAAATTTAATTATATGGACTTTATTTATAATATACTAATTAATGTATGCATGTACAAATATTCAGTTTTTTTTTTCTTTTTTTTTTTTCTCCTCAGCCAATAAAGAACAAGCATTGCATTGTGTTGAGGAGTAGACTACTAGAACATCATTAGTTTTTTATTATTTTTGAATTTTTATTTTATTTTATTAAATTAAAACTTGGAAAAACATGTCTGAAAATCATACATGATTTTTTGTGATCAAAAAATACTTTTATAAAATGGTATCTTTCTGAAGAGATACATCCTTACAAATAATGACTTTTCAAGCATTATAAATTTTTATGCAAAATCAGAGTTCCACATCTAATTCTAAGATAATTTTATATTTTGTTTTATCTTAAAAGATTTTAAATCTTTAAAAAAAGTAAGATAACGTCTTTCAGAACAATTCTTTTATTCTTCTACTATTTCATATTTTCTAACATCTTAGGAATGGTCTGAGGATGGGTATGAAATCCCCATAATTGTAATCAAAGCTCTACGCCAATCTACTCCTCTCGCCATTCAAAACCTTGGCCCTTGAGCCTCACAAACAATGGATCGTCTTCGCTCTCGAACCTGCTGTCGAACATGATCCTGTACATGTTGTTGTACATCATCAGATGCAACCGCATCCTCAACACAATCCCACTCCTCGCCACCTCTAGATTCTTCTTCACGTCCTCCACCACGCATGCCACCTCGTCCTCCCACCTGTACACGTACTGATGCACCACCTTATTAGTGAAAAAAGGCACCGTCATAATCCTCCGCATCTTTCTCCAATGCTCCTCGTACATCGTAAACACCAAGCCCTATCCCTTCCCTGTGAAGATATCGAACACCATCTTTCAAGTTCTAGACCCAAACTCCACCCCCTGCATGTGGAGAACCTCCTTTGCCAAGTCCATGTGGAGTGTGACGTACATTAACGGAGTTTGTAGTAGATTTGACGGAAGTTAGTTTTTCGTCCAATTGGTACTTTATTTAAGAATTTCGTGTAGTTTGGGACTTCAATTGAGTGCATTTGAAGTTTGGGTCCAAAATTATGAATTTTGTATAAGTTTGGGTCCTTATGTCATATTTTTGCCTTTAATCTTCCTCTCTCAGTTTATGCCTCAATCTTTTCAAAGCTGCAGGTGTTGGTGTTGGATACACATGCAGCAACCAACTTGCTTGCAAGAGTGGGAAAGACTTGAGTTAGGTCCTGTGTTGGACCTCCAGGTGTTGTGCAACATCTGATGGGGCAAAAGTTTGTTGGCTATTCACTCTGTACTAGGCGAATGGCTAACCAGAATCCCACCCCAGAATGGAAAATGATGAGACTACAATTTTTTTTTTTTTTTACAATAATTTGTCCAATATGACATTACTTAAAGCATTTACTCCCTCTATCTTAAAATAACAATTGTTTTTAAGTTTGTCATATTCTTTCGTTTTATTTTTTTTCTTACTTATTAATATCTTATTACTTTTATTAATGATCTGATTGTAAAAAGTTTAGTTTTTATCTTTTAAATTTTTTTAAAAAGTAAAAGTAAATATATAAATTATTATTAAATCCTCAATTAAAAAAATAAAAAATAATTATTTTAAAATTTAAAAAATAATAAAATTTATTCATTTTATTCAAAATTTTACATAAAAACACATACATTCAGTTATTTAATAGCATATCATGATTTTCCATTGCCTTGGCCACAAGAATTTATATACAGTGAAAGCAGCATTA